ATTTAAATGGCCTCTCCTACTACATTCTGTATAACTTTTTTTCACTAGAGCTTTTAGGTGGGTTTTTTTTGCTGCACTGTATTATATAGTGTGATGCAGCGTTTTCATCCTTCCTTTATAATGTACAGTTGATGTCTTGCTTAATCCCTCAACCTCTCCTGTGACTATCTGAAACAATATTAATATACCAAATCAAATAAGAAGCTGTGTTCTGTCCATATTTCTTTCTTGTTAAAAAAAATCCTTGTTCAAGAAAGCTACTTTGTATTGAATATTCCTTTTATGTAGATGTGATTCCAAAAGCAAAGACCTTATTTATTAAAACACACTTAATGTTCACCTCATAAAAGAGTAAAACACTGGATTAAATATACCTGTCCATATATTTCCAGAATTTAAATGAGGCAATCAGAAGTCAGCTGCGAGACATGAATAATTTCATAAAAAGCTGCCACTGACTGTATTATACCTCTACATTGCTTTATAAAACAAAGCAAATGATTACCATCAATTATAATAACATCATTTGACAAGTCTGCAATTAATTTGCTGCTCTTCAGATAACTGTTGTTGCACGATGCCAAAGAAAATGCCATGCATAAATTGACTCATCAACAGAGCCTGTGATAGATGGTGCCGATGGTAATGTGATAATAATTCATCTTCAACAAAACAAATAAGTGCTTTTTTATTGGAAACAATTTCTTTTGGTTTTCTAAAAGAATGACAACAGGATACTTGAGATACCTTTTGAAGATAATTCTAAAATACACCCACAGTGAGATGCAGTTCTTAATCATTATTTTAATTATTTATTGAGGATTTCTAAAGTGCCAGTTGTGTGCTGCATAGTTCAAAGACCAGAAGCTGGTTGAAGGAGGATAAAGGTATGACCAAACTTGCACATCCTTTTTGTTAATAAAGCAACTTCAAGACTGACCACCTTTGAGCTCAATCTGGGCCATGCAAAAGTCAGCAAACTTGGAAAACTTGTTTGAACTATGCACCAAATTCAGTAATGTATTTATTCAACACTAAAACATGGGCACTAATGTATCAGTGCAGGATCACTGTGTTTTTTCTTTCCTAACTATTTAATGTGTCTCTAGAATGTATAAGGCAGATCCACATCCTGCAAAGATTCACCTATGTCGTTAAATTTAAACCCTTTGTGCAGTCCCTCTTCAGTCAGACTTCAGTTTAGCATGCATAAGGCTAGGACAGGGGCGGGCAATTATTTTGGGTGGAGGGCCACTTACCCAGTTTTGGCAGGCTGTCGAGGGCTGCATGGGTAGCCTCGCCCCTTGACAGGTGCCCTGCTCCCTGGTCACTATGTTGGGACCAATGTCCCAATGTCTTTGGTCCCAAGACATTGGGACATTGGTCCCATGTCCCAGGGCCAGCACCGGTGGGGCCCAAAGCCGGCAGGGAAGAAGCTGGTGCTGAGTGCAGGGAAAAGCTGTCCTTTGGCCACCCCATGGCTGGTGCTCCCTGCTGCAGTTGCTCACAGCCCACGCAGGGCTGTCTGGAGCTGGCACAGGCAGCCCCATGTGGGCCGCAAGCGGCTACAGCATGGGGCACTAGGCACAGGGTGAGCGAGGGGCCGCTTTCCCTGCGCCCAGCACCAGCTTGTAACCCGGCCCCGCTGCCAGCCTGGGCTCTGCACCAGCTCCGGGCTCGCCCGTCGGGGCTGTGTACCACAGCAGCAGCTGTGGCCCCCCTGCTTGCTGTGCCGGGCAGTGTTCATTGCTGCTGCCCACCTGGAGCTCACGCGCTAGGCAGCCCAGAGGTGACAGTGGCAAACACTGCCCAGTGCAGCAAGCAGGGGGGCCACAGCTGCTGTCACCATGCACAGCCCTGACTGGTGAGCCCGGAGCCACGTGGGGCCCAGGCTGGCAGTGGGGCTGGCTTTCAAGGTGGCACTGAGTGTGGGGGGAGGGGGGAAAGTGGCCCTTCACCTGCCCCGTGCCCGGTGCCCTGTGCTGCAGTCACTCACAGCCTGCCTGGGGCTGCCTGTGCCTGCTCCAGACAGCCCCATGTGGGCCGTGAGCGGCTGCAGCAGGGAGCACCAGCCACAGGGGTGGGGAAGGGCCGCTTTCCTCCACGCCAGGAAGAAGCATAGAAGGAGACCAGGGAAAAGCTGAGCACCGGGGGGGAGGAAGCAGCCCCTTCCCTGCCCCGTGGTTGGCACTCTCTTCTGCAGCTACCCGCAGCCCGTGCAGGGCTGTCTGGAGCAGGCACAGGCAGCCACAGGTGGGCTGTGAGCGGCTGCAGCATGGGGCACCAGGCACTGGGCAGGTGAGGGGCCACTTCCCCCCCCCACGCTCACCTTTTCCCCAGGCCACTTTTCCACAGGCTCCTTCCCTGCCTGGGGTCCTACCCTGCCCTTCCCCACTCCTTCCCCCTTACCTTCGGTTCCAGTGTGGGGCAGCCATGTGGTCCCAGGCCAGAAGCCCTGGCTGGGGCTTCTGACTTGGGGGGTGGGGCTGGGCAGGCCCTGCTGTTGTGGGAGCCTGCAGGGCGTTCCCTGGGTCTTATTGCCCTTGGGTCCTGTCATTTTTGACAGGAACCAAGGGCAGAGAAATATTAATTTTCCACATTTTTTAGGGGCCCCACAGGCCAGACAGAATGGCCTCGCAGGCTGGAACTGCCCCACAGGCCATATTTTGCCCACCCCTGGGCTAGGAAGTCTTTGCAGAATCACAGCAGTAATATACTATTATATATTAGTAGTATACTGGATAAAATATCACACACCAGAGCATTATGCAAGTAGAACTTCTATAAAAACAATAGTCACCTTTGTCATTACTTTCTAGTTATTTTGGAAATATAAAATCAGCTTTAAGTTGACAAGGGGTGGAATGGACTAACCTAATGAAGCTCTGCTTGTCATGGTTAACCATGCGACTGGATATGTACAGCATTCCCATCCTTTTCCATATAGCTGGAGCTGGTAACAATCTTAGAGCTGTGTTCTGCTCTGTTTCCGAGTCATTCCTAGTTTATAGCAGTCTTTATGCCAGTGACTGTAAAATGCCTTTTGTACTTAAATGGATGCAAAATATTGTGTTTCACTTTCAGAATCATCTGACAGCTATTTTACATTCTACTAAAGTTTCTCTGAAAATCCCAGCCCAAGAAAATTGTGCCCCAAATGCACTGAAATTCATTGGGATTTAGGCACCAAAGATGACAGCCTTTCTGAAGTCTACAGCAAAACTCAACGAACTTCAGCAGGGCTGAGATTTTACCCCTCGTTCCACTTTCAAATCAAATATCATGTTGCACTATGGAGCTTCAAAAGGGGAGTAGCATGGAGTTTGATAATACTATCTCTACATGCACTGCACTTTCACTGTAATGTGGTATGTGAGAGGGTAGTTAGTGTGTTAGTCTGAAGTCAGGAACAAGGCAGAGTAGTGTGGCATCCTTTAGATTCACTTGTTAGGAGGCATGAGCTTTTGTAGGCTAATGGCTTACTTAATCAGATGCTAGGATATTTCGCAGATTATCTGCTATGATGCTGCTGTGCTCTTTATGTCAGATGCTTTCATACCATCTGACAAAGTAGGCTATAACCTGCAAAAGCTCATGCCTCTCTGAACAAGTTAAGGCGCCACGTTGCCCTGCTTCTGTAATGTGATATGATGCACTTAAATATGGTGCAACGCAGAATAAAAATAGTCCTTTTCAAAATGGATTTAAAAAAAATCATTTTTCATGAAGACCAATTAGTTTGCACTTTCCCTTTGAAGTGAAAAACAGGTATTTCACACTGGCTCATTTTTAAGTCCAAATACTGTCACATACCTCGCCAGAGAAAGCTTGTCCATTAAGTAGGTGCTCTGATCCCTGGCTGTCTTCACTTCCAAAGTGTAACCGGATCTCTTCCAAGCGGTGACTGTATGTCATGGGCCCTCCAGAAATATTGACCAAGTGCTCTTTGTCTAATCGTAGAGAAACGTGTCTCCCTGTGTTATACATTGTACCACTGACCTAAAGAAAAAGAACAAATAAAGACATTTTTCCAGACCCAGAAGTGAGTCAGAAAATAAAGTGACAGACAGCTTTTGCTTTTTAAGCACCTTCAGATTGATCTAGTAATACATCTTTAAAAGCTGGGAGACAAAATATACAACCTGATGGTATACTTCCAGTGCTGCTTTTAAATATTATACTATATATTCAAATATTTTGCTAAATCCATATGTACATAGTTTAGCCAGGGGCATGTGGCTAATACAATGAATGTGATTGTGCTTCTTCCAAATAAGTATGCATATAAAACATTCTTTATGCAAGACCTGAATAATGACTTCATTACAGAGTTTCTACACTGCAAAATGGGAATGTTTCAATGGATGTATAAATAATTTAAGCATATTTAAACAAATCTGAAACTTAACTCATTTTTTCTTCCTGAAAAATTTATAACCAACTTATCCGAAAAAAGAGGTGCTAGAAAACCAGAAATATAAAATTCATACAAATGGAGCTGGCTTTTGCTCCCACTGGAGTCAACTCTCATTGTCCTCTGTTACAAGGTTCACTGTTTTACGTTTTAACTTCTAGATAAATAAGTCACATTTTGTTTAGTTTATCATATATTCCCAATCCTCCCATTCTTCTAGAAGTTGCAATGTGCTCTAAGAATTATTATTTTGTGTTTGTTTTAAGTCCTGGAAGTTATCCTCATTTGAAAAATAATGTAAGGTCAATACTTGTTTATAATGTACATAAATAACCAGCTGGGGTACAATAGGGTAAAAAAGAAATATAATGCTGAAACCTTTCATATTAAATACGGATAAAATTACTGTAAAATTATTAAGTATGAAAAATAATGTAAGAATTTATTTGGATTTATACTACTACAAGGAAAAATATATCAGTTTGTGTGCGAAATGGAACTGTTGTTTATTTGGCATGGATACAAATGGTACATTTGAACAACATTAATTTATTTTAATCGGAAGGAAGTCTAGCAATAGTATGCTTTGTTGCACTTTAATTTAAAATTAAGGGCTTGACAATTATGTATTATATCCTATAGTATACTGGTACTGTAATAATCAACACTGGTACACATTTTATTTATAATGCTAATTACTGTGCTTAAATGATCTGTTCTGTTGCCCAGTCTGTGCTGCTTTGGCTTATTTTCTAAGTAGGCAGGAGTACTTTTTTGCTGCCCTCCGCTGTTAACTTTCAAACGCCTCCATGCAACCAAGAGGATTAGATTAATCACTCTTGCTTACTGTTGATAATGCAAGAATGAAACAAAAGTGAAAAACTTGAAAACCAAGCACATGACCCATTTTTCAAAGCCTTTTTATCACACACTTGGGACTGGCAGCTAGCACCTTGAGAGAATTTCACTTTTCTTGTTTGAATACACATGGTTTTGTGACTGCCATCTTTTATATTGATGTTCTCAGCTGCTTAGCTCTCTACTGAAATTAAAGCAAGACTCATCAGCCGCAACTGAGCCATTGCAGAATGCAATTATGTCTTTATAAGCTTTAGGTTTCAAAAAACCGTGCTCTCTGATTGTGACATATATGGGAAAGATTAACAGAATCCTGAGCACAATTAATAGGTTTGGAAAACGTGGCCAACCGTTTTTTTTTTTGCACAGAAACTCAAACATAGGCCTTTGCACATGTTCCAGGCTTCAGCTTCCAGGCCAGCACTTTGATATTTATTTGAATTTTGGTACCTATGATTCTCACAAGGCTTCAGCCATTGATAACAGGAATAAAAAAGCCCCAAAGACCTCTGAAATACATAAATCACATTAATTCAACTTCCCCATCGTATTTTACAGAAGAGTTTTGGGAACAGGATGACATCCAAGATTCCCTGAGCCTTTCTTGGGAAGTGTGGCATATAAGTCTAATAATAAATTTTGTGGTTTATCACATCCTAGTGCTGCAGTGAGGCCACAAAAATGCCACTTTGAACCATGCTGAAAAATATCATTCTTTCAAAGAACGTGTGTTGTATAGGACTGAACCCCACCCCACAAAGTGCTCTCTTTTTAAGTTCCCATATTCTCTTCTGAACTCTGCTGTGTTTGACTTCCATATTTGTCCCACTGTCGTAGCCTTGGCCTCTCAAACTACTGAGTGAGACTCTCATTTTTTTTTATATGTTCAGGTGAGTCTGTGCCAGTTTGGTGTTAGTAGAACCTGTCATCCAATGAAAACTTCTTTGCTTTTTAATGCTGCTTTCATGCTTCAGTTGTTGCTTCTACAGAAACAAATCTAACAATCAGCAATTACTGTCATGTGCTCTTGCTTACTCGTGTTTTTGGGGCAGTCGAGTATAACAGAAAAATACCCGGCAGCTTTCAAGGCAGACATAATTCCCTACTTACTCATGTTCCCCAAAATTAGAACAGTTTTAGTTTGAATATTTTTTTGATAGATGAAAATTTCATGAATTTCCCTTGAGGTAATTCGCTGAAGATTTTTCCTTCATTTCAAAGTCACATTTCCCAAGGAACTCTACAGTTTTTAAAAATTTTCACCTGTGGAATGAATATCCCTAGAGTTCATTTGTACTGACCCAGCATTGCATAGAAAATGACAAGTCTTTCATTGATTGCTGATCGTTTGGCAGGATCTGTCAACGGTCAGAACGTCCTCAGAAAATTTCTGTGCTCTCCTGCAATAACTCGGCAGTTGCATTAAGTTAGTTTCACTCCAAGGCATATTCACATCCACAGATGGAACCGCCTCATTGGGGAGAACGTTTTCTTGTTCTTTTCTTTCAGATCCATCCGCTTTAGAAATACTGGTATTTTGACTGGATGAATGTTCATGACTTGATTCTGATGTATCAGTTGGAAAGGAAACAACTGATTTGTGAACTCTTAAAAGTCCTTGACTTCACTTCACAATTGGTTTCTCCTTTCCTTTTGTTAAAAACAATCTCCAGAAAGATGTTTTCATTTTTGTAAAAGATCATCACTTTCAGACATGATGATTTACACTGTCACTGAAGATCACTAGCCGATTAATGTATGTTTGGGTGCCTGTGCATGCATCAACACATTCGTTAATGCGCAGTGGTTATTGCATGTTTGATTTAGTACTTGTAGAACCAAGTACTAAATAAATGTGTGGTAACCAGAGTTACTGTGCAGTAGCACTAGCGAATGCCTTTTTAGTGACGCTACTGCACAGTAGCCTAAAAATACTGTGCAGTAGTAGCACATTAGCACTGTCCATGCTGTGACACACTACTGGGCACTATTAGGTTACTGCGTAGTTAGTGTCTCATAGACATGCCCAGTGTAGACGAGGAACTTCCAGATGATCAAGGAAAATTGACTTATCCACAAAGAAAGTGTCTTCTGCTGTGTCACATCTTTGCCAAACAATTTTTCCTGGTGAATAGTAAATGCTGCATATTTGTCACTCCTAATATCTCCCTAGGGTACAGTAGTTATTTTGCCTACCTCTAAAGCTGGCCTACTGTGCTACACGTACGGTGCAGTAGAACTAATGGATGACATTACAGTAAAAGCTCTGTTATCCGGCATCCCCGCGGGAACGGGGGATGCTGGTTAATCAAATATTCCGGTTAATCAAATGTGCACCGTCTGGTGCTCTCCCCAGCATCAGTGTGCCTGTGCAGGCTGCTTTGCCCTGGGCAGAGACTGAAGAAGTGGCAAGAACTCTGCTTGCAGTGGTGATGAAACCTGGAAGTCGTACTTCCGGTTTTGCCTTTGCTGCGTCCCTTGGATGCTGGTTAATAGAGTTTTCTGGCTAATAAAGTGCTGGTTAACACAGCTTTTTCTGTAAATAGTTTTTGATTTTGATACAGATGTTTTACTGGGGCTTTTTATTTTATTTAATCAAAGTGAGGAAAAAAATATTTCTTATGCAAAGCAGAAAACATGATTATCCCTATTTAATTCGGGTAAAACATTATCAGAATATTTTGTATATGCTCTTTAGTTTTCTGCCTTGACTTTACATGTGCAATAATTAAATATCAAGTTTAGTTTAATTGATGGAAACAGGTTAGTTTTATCCAATTACACTACGCTGCATATGAATGACACAAAATCGCTAATCGTAAGTAGCAAGTGCCATTTAAAACACGTAAGGAAAAAATGGTTTAAAGTCATTTTGCTCACTATTTTGGAAACTCACACTATGTTGAACATTCAGTTTCTTTTAGCAACTGCAAAATATTCAGAATCCATTTTCTTACCCTGCTTGATACATATATTTAATTTGGTTACTGCCATTCTCTCTCATCCTCCAAAAATGCAGTGTTTATACTGAGCCTACATTCAGCATGTTGGGACAGAAGTTCTTTTTGTGTACTGCAGGTGATGAAGGTGAGTAGCACAGCAAATGACACCCTCTCCAACCATCATCATGTCTGACATAGTCTTTCTAGCTCAGTGGGGGCCATACTTTCCGGCAGGTGTGCCACAAATTAGCCTAGACAACCCCCCTGAGTGAGTTGATCATGTGTATTAAGTTATGTAGCACCACTGGATGGTGATGTTTTTGACAGAGTAGATTCATGTACTTTGAATTCTCGTGCTCTGGGTGGCACTGTTCTAGACGGAAAATATATCTATTGAATTTTAATTTAGCTTGAATTACGTAGCTTTAATTTAAATGCCCCAAAAGATTAAATATTTAACCTTAAATAAATAAATGAATTAAAAAGCTTAAATATTTAAGATTTAAATAGTTAGCTTTAATAGCTTAGTTTTAATTTAGCTACAATTTATAATATATGTGTGTATATATATAGAGAGAGAGAGAGACAGAGAGAGAGAGAGGTGTGTGTGTGTGTGTGTGTGTGTATATAAAGTAAATTAAAACTTCCCTCTCTGTAAAGAATAAAATGTATTTGGTTGGGGGGGGGGAGGAGATGGCCATCTCACCACTGTTTGTGGTCAAGGGGCTACTTGACTTCACAATGGTAGCAATACCAAGTTGAATACTCACTAATTGTGCTAGCCT